CAAATATATATATTATTATTTTTAGTTATTACTTTTTAAAAATTATTAATTTTTGATGATGTAACTAGATTAGTGATTGAACTCAAATCAATTCATTTTAAGTTGAATCAAGTTGAGTTATAATTTTTCTGACTCAAAGAGTATCTGAGTCAGAATACAAATCAAAATATGAGTTGACTCGAGTTAGATAATTTGAGTTAATAATTTTAGTAGCTTATATATGTAATAGAATAAGAAATTAACTTACTAGAATTTTTATTTCCATGACTATTAGTTTGAACAAAATATAAAGTATTCATTTGAAATCTTGAAACCACTAATATTTTTTAAAATAATGTAGCAACAGATTATTTTGTGAAATAAAGCGATTTAAATCAAAATTTACAATTAGTAGATTTCCTACATTGAAGAGCTTTTTTTATGATGAATTCAAATTTGGACCACTAATTAAAAATGTTCTACTTTATAAAATCTATCTATTTACCAATTTTCATAAAAATTGTCACAAAATTCACCGAGATTTGAGACTCCGAAAGACTGTGAATCTATGTTATGAGCATTAATTCATGTATTAATGCTTCTAGCATATAGATTCAGTCTTAAAATCCTAAATATCTATAAAAATTAAGCTGATTTTTATGAAGATTGGTAAATAGGTAGATTTTATAGAGAAATACATGTTTAATTAGTGGTCCAAATTTGAATCAGTCATAGAAAAAAAGTTCTTCGATGTGAGAAATCTACTAATTGTAAATTTTGATTTAAATCACTTTATTTCACAAAATAATCTGTTGCTAAATTATTTTAAAAAATATTAGGGTTTCAAGGTTTCAAATGAACACTTTTTTATTTTGTTCAAACTAATATATATATAGTCATGGAAATAAAAATGACTCGAGTCAACTCGAGTGTGAGTCCAATCACTAGACTAGATGTCCTGCACCATCACATACCGATACGTACATATCGATATACATGCAGAGTGCTCGTTACAGTAACACTCTTTAAGATAATATCTCGATCTCGTTATACTCTCTTCCCCCGATCTCATTACTGTAATAAGCTTTCATAGAACATGTATTTATTTTTTCGATAGTAATATCTCGATATAATAACACCAAATCTCTTCCCCCGATCACGTTATTGTATCGAGCGCCCACTGTACATGTACATGTGTATATAATTTATTTGTCACAAGTTGTTTATACGCGGCAAAATACGGTAATCAATATACATGTACATGTATTGGTATACCGAGACGTATTAACGTTAACGTTAAACAATTAACTCAACGACATCAACCACAATGTCAAATGTGAATGCAAAATGCAATTATCTTCATTTAACAGAACTGAATGGATAGAATCTTCAGTAAAAAAAAATCAAAATGATTTAATTCATTTTGTTACTCGAATCGAAAAAATCGATGTTGCCAAAAGCTGATTCCCACCCAAATTTTCAAATTTGCTCGTTGAAAAACTGCGGTCGGATTTTTACATTTACCACTTATTAATTTGTGATTAAACGAAAAAATTTAATTTTTCTTGATATAAAACTTTTATATTAATTCATATTAAAAAGGAAAAACATGCAAGTAAAAGTGTAAATTTATTGGGTATGTAGAACACATCAATCTAATGTAAAGGATTACGTATTAAAGCTAACGCTAAATGCTGAATATCGATATATTAAATCTAAAAAGTATGAACGTGAATGATTATCAGCGCCAAGTAGTATTGGTGCCATCAAAACATCTCAACTATACTTAATTATTGCGACTCTCGCAATTGTTGCAACAGTCACAATTTGCAACTCTAATTTCTATTATTTATTTACGCTAAAAACATCTCTTTACCTGTCAAATACACAAAAATATTGAGAATTGCCGAACACAGCAGAGTGTAAAACATTCGCATTCACTAGTTTTCCTGTTTTAAAATTTTGTTCAGGAACATGGAAGTTACAGCATTGTACGGACGTAAACGCGCATCGTCCTGTGCATATTTGTGATTTCACAGGGATAACTAATATCGATATCGATATGTGTCAACCTTGTAGTAAACTTGCGCGTCTAACATTCTATTCAAGGTTTAAGTTTATCGTTATTGCTTTCAATATCGATATGGTTTACTAAGTTTATATATTACATCGGTTTACTTAAAGTTTGACAATTATAAACCTTGGGAAACTTTATAAGAATTTGATTAAGATAATTGACGATAATATAAATTTATAAGCTTAATTATAACTATATTAACAATATAATATCAAAATATTTATCCCGTCAGAAAATTCTGATACACGTTAATATACTGTTCCTCCGTGTCATCTCCAAATGGCTGTAAGTCACACTTTAATTCAATAGCAGTCAAATCAAGCGGATGAGGCGACCAAGTTTTAAAGCTTTCTCGCAAGTTTTTGAAATCGGGGATAAGTTTCTCAGAAATGATTGTCTTTTCGTCGGATAATAGACCGCGCATTGCCCATGCCATGTAGATGTTACGTGGTTTTTCGGGTAACGTGTAATCAAATTCAGTGAATTTTACGTCGATACCTTTGTATTCTTTTGAATGGTATAAATGGTCGACTGCGTATCTGTGAATAAAACAAATATCGTTTAACAATATGTCGTATTGAACAAAATAAACAAACGATACTTACTGATAGGTTTCGGGTTCATCGTGCAAATCTGAGTGTCCTTTATCACATAGGTATCCAATTAGAGCTTCACTCAAGAGAACCAATAGACCATGATCGGAATGGTTGTTGTTTCGAATTCGGAGAAGAATTCTTACTAGATCTGCCACAAATTTTTTTTGTTTGTATACATAACCGGCGACATATATCCCACGATTAATCGAGGGATGATACATGTTTGAGTATAATGACGAATGAAGCTACCAACAGAAAATTAAGTGATGTTAATCTTTATAAGTACAGTAATTGAATACAAATTATGCAAGATATTTACCGGAACTGCTTCATCATTTCCACAAGCCAAATATAAAACCTTGACTCCACGTTTCAGAATGTGGGATGCAGCGTCACGATATGCCCGCGATATTGGCGACGAAGACCTTTGTAAGGCAAACATTTCCGCTGACTGGTCATCATCGAGGATTTGAGCAAGTCTCTCTGCAACATCAAATCTCTTAACAGGTCCTTGCGAAATTCCCGCCATCAAACAAGCACAAATCTGTTGATGATCAGGATTGACTAATCCGACTTCAATCAATTTATCCATTAAAAGAACACTAACAGGAACACCTTGCGAATGCCCAACCATAAACAAAATTTTAGCATTCTTGATTTTATCGCATTTCGTCTTGTTCCCTTGTATTTGTTTCAAGAAATCATCTCGTCGGTTTAAAATCATTCCGTATCCGTTCAACGAAATACTCGTAATATCGCCTTCATTGGGACCTAAATTCAGTTTTAGACGGATCGCTTGAGCCATTCTCACGCAAAATTTATGCGAATCTAATTTGACAAAATTTTGAAGTAGTTTTGGTTGCCATCCATGAATAGCGATAATTACAATCGGTTGTTTTCTGTCGTATATATTAGCGAGTCCATTCAAACGAAGAAAGTTTGTGACGGTTTTTAGTCCAGTTGAAGCGTCTTCATATAGTGGCAAAATCATTTTATATTTAACGTTTATAAGCAAAAGTAAATTAAATAAATTCTGGTCTTTGCAATTTCTGTAAACCCATTGTTTATATACGTATACAAATTCTGTATCGATATCTGCAGTAACTTGACACTTACCGTTTCCGTTAACCTATTTGATTTTCCCTATTCTTCGTGGGATAATTCTAGGAGAGCATTTTACATCAAACAAAAATTCACAACGATAAATATATAAAAGGCAACAAAACACTACAAGCATCGTTATTTATGGTTACGCCTAACAGGATCAAAAACTAGTAAGGGGTGTTTAACGTTAGCGCAATATATGTTGGATTATGATTTCTTGGTTGAAAATCAATAATTATACATGTACATGTATTTTGTTCTTTAATCTTAACGTGAATAATAACAATGTGAATTCAAAATTTTTTGTGTACTATACGTTTAATCAATTTTATATTATAGAATTATTAGTACATGTATAATATTTTCGTCTAATTGTTTCTATGAGTTATTGTGAATGAGAATGCATGTGGTCGTTTCTACGTTTCTACGTTTCTACGTTAACTATTCATTTGATTACTAAACTAAAAAGGAAATATCATTGTATCATTTCTATATCATACATACTGATACATATACAAATGTAAATATGACAGGTAAACTTTCCAAATGCATTGCATCCGCCGAAACTTGAAATAAGCAGAGATACCGTCTTGGTTTGACCTCTAAAAGAAATCGAACCAACTACGTATAATTAGCATCATAAAATCGGAGTTGTTGGCTCGCTGCGTGTAAATAGAATAACAAGAAGAATTACCAAAGCAACGGCAAATCCCAGAACAATGCCTATGTAAGTGCTAGTTTAGTATTCGTTTTTCCCAAACACTAGGGACAAGAAAGCCAATCACTATCTTTTTTGGAATTACGATATCGATATCGCCTAATTCAACACAGCAAAAATCTTGGCTAAATTATTGCATTCCTCAAATTCTATATACGTATGTGCCCAATATCAGTTTGCAATCCTGTATATACGTATCTATAGCACATATTGATATAATCAAAAAACATGATTTTGCAAAGAAAAATTTGCAGTTGGAATACTAATTTACACCCGAAAGAAGACGGCTACAAGATTAGGAATGTCAAATGCAGTCAGTGTTGTTTCTTAATCATCAGTGAATTGCGATTGTTTGTTTATCTTGCTTAAAGCACGAGAATCGCAAGATTCACAATAACATTCAATTCAGCATATTTTTTTCGCCATTGCTATTCTTATCGTTGAAATACAAAAGAGCAGCTATTACCTTCGATGATTCCGTCATACAGTCGTGTTCTTGCCAATCTTGAAAGTTGTCATTGTTTGGCTCCAGGTTCGATAATTTCTTTTGTGATCCTTTCTCTTACTTTTCGTCGGATTTTAATCTAAGAACGAGTTTGTTTGTCATATAAAAAAACAGTCTTAGCAAAATATTTCGTTGTTAAAAGTTGCTATAGTGAAAATTTTAAATATTAGTCTTTAAACAAATTACTACGTATTAATGTTGTATTAATGTTTTATTAATGTTAACTGTTAGTTACAAAATTTATCCGTCAAGATGATGGATTAACGTTAGGCCTTTCTTGAACTAATTAAGGCGTATCTGTATATAACGATAATACATTATTATACATTGATACAGTATTACAGTATGCGTTAGACTTATCGTTATTGTTATTGTAAATTGCTAATCCATAATCTGTATTTTTATAAATTCAAACTGAAGCTTTGTTTACCCGTTTTAGAAATAAATTCATCAAGAAAAAAACCATTGAAAAAAATCAACTCCAATAATATCAAACCACATCACGTGGATGGAAGTTCATATTATCGTTATTGAAAACGGAAATTCTGTTAGTCACATGCCATAAAAGCATATCCACTTTGGATGAAGGATAGCAATATCTTCCGGACCTTTGATAAAAATGAATTTTGATAAAATATTCTCTTTCTTGATTTAATCTGAAAAGACACATGTAAATTTTATTTAATACGCAACGACAATTTCGTATGGAATTGCATTTCGAAAATATCCTATCAATTCTACCGTACAGCGCTGCCAATAGTACTCCCATGAGATAATATCCCCATTTTGCTGATAATCAATTTGCGGCCTAATTTTCATAAGTGGTGTCTGGTTTTTTCTACGGATCTATTGCGATTAATAGCTATCTTTGGGGGGGGGGGGTACTATTTCAAGTTCAAAGAGGTTTTTTGAAAAGTACGATTGGCAGGGCACAAGAAAATTAAAAATGAAATATACATAAAACGAATGCCTAAATCTGCCTTGAAGCACTAATAAAAAATGTCGAGGAAGCAATTTTACATATAACCTTGATCTCCACTCCAACCCTAACTCTAACGCTAAAATTAACCTTTAATATCCTCAACCAATCAGAACTTGGGGGAATTAGTAAATGCTTGGCAACGCTGTATGGTATAGTGAAATAAGTCAGCCCTGTGTCGATCGGCAAGATCGACCTGACTGAAACTCTTCTATTTTTGGGGCATGTCTAAAGCCTGTCCATCCGAAACACAAACCAACAAGAACGCGTAAATTTTTGATCAACCCGGCAAAACAAATCCGAAGCGCGAACAAAAATATGAAAAATAACGGAAAACAGATGCTTAAATCTATCTCGGTGTACTAATAAAAAATGTCGGCGAGGAAATTTTATATATAACTTTTATAACTTTAATCACATCTCTAGCACTGTCCCTAACCCTGAGCTTAAAAACAATCTTTAATTATATAGTCACGTGATAGACCCAGGCTTTAGACATTCCTTATTTTTGGTAAATGTTACTATTTATGATAAATTTTAAAGTAATATGCTAATTATTGTCCTAATTTGATCAAATATTATTATTAAATAGTCGATATAACAATAACGAATAAAATATGATTACATACTTTATTTGGTAGTTGGCCAGTGATCCTAGCTGACTTGGATGCGCCGGCGCAGAGTCGACTCACTGAGTCAGCCGATCTGACCAAACGATTTTTAAATTTGGTATCTAATACATGTACAAGTAATACTGTGATTGATAAATAAAATTTAAATATACATCGGATTCGGCTTACACCGTATTAATATAACGATTTTTACGATTTTTAATTATTTAAAACTACCTATATAGCGAAGTTTATAATACAAGCCCTATATACCAGCACAAAAGTGTCAATCCAATGCGGCCGTTGTAAAGGATTTTGACTGTATAGAGGGTGAGTATTTTTACTCTTCTTCATTTCATGCTCCTTGTGGGCGTATGTATCATTTTTCATGCATCAATCGTTTGACAAACACATGTGAACGACGACGACTTCCACTCCACCACATATAAATCT